AAGACTGTTGATAACTCACAATGACTAGCCTCCCATGTAGTTAGGAGTTGCAGTACTCTAGTTACTTTTTCACTTCATTTTCATAGTCACCTCATGTTACTGAAACCAGATGAAGCTCTGGCATTTGTGAGCTATCTGGCACGTGAAGGTTTTACCTTACCTGGTTGAACCACTAGCTCTCAAAGTACATGTATCTCACTTTTCTTTTAATTTTGCATGCATATACTCACCAAAAGAGAACTGTTTTCAAGCTAAGTATTTCAAATAATGTTTAAAAATCCACAGAATGATGCTTGTACAAAGCTTCAAGCAGGAGTGAGGTACAAATCTGAAGCCAGGATCGACGAGGCAGTGAGGTTTGTTGACATGTACATTTTTTCTTCTTGCCAATAATCAGAGAGCATTCCAAATGATGTTTCCAGAGCAAAAGATAAATTTGATATCTATTGATTTGTCGGAGGTGTGCTGAATAAATCATCTCTTCAGTGCAAGAAAAAAAGCAAACTAACGGGTTGACCTTCATGCATGAGGCACTATGGGTTTTCAAAGCCTTCCTTTTTACTAGTATCTGCCAGAAGCAAACCAGAAATTTCAACCTGTTTCAAATCTTGGCTAAGCTTATATCCTTGTGATTGCTCTGTTTACAGGAAACTGGAACATCAGATGCAAGCCCAACAGCTCAAGCTAAGTGAAGAGAAGCGAATAGTCGCTGAAATTGACACCCTCAAGCGGTCAAAAAGAAATTTAAAGTAGGTATTCCTGACTGATATACAGTAATCAGTTTTAACAACAATTGTCATTTAACAAGAATAATAATGCAATGGTATGGAGCAAAAATAAGTTTTCCTTATGATAGAACTACCCAGCTGGAGGGATATTATTGTTGGTAATAACGTTTTGAAATCCTTTGATGGTAGACTATTTGAGAAAATGTTTTGTGGTTGTTTAATCAACAGTGAGTACTTGGTTCTCAAACAGCATGTCGACCAGTTGAGAAACAAGCAGAAACACTTGCGATCACAGAGAGATGTGAGTACATAGTTACATGACTACGCATGTATGTATGTACAGTAGTGTACTGAAACACAGTCAAGTTAATAATCGAGCCTTTAAATTTCACGTTAATAATTAATAATGCAATTTGGTCTGTAATCATACGAGTGATTTCAAAATTGAATGAGCATGCAGCGCGAGTTCAATTTGAAATTACAACTATGATTTCAGACCAAAATTTGCACGACACGAAGTTCAATTGCTACTTTATTACTAACATCCATTTTTGATCACCTTAGTCAGTACCAGTATTTTATTGATCCAGTAATCAGTTTGTTGAAAGCAGAACCAGAAACACTTTAGTTTACATCTCAGTTTGTTCTCAAAACAGAAAAAAAAAACACAATTTAGCACAACATAGAGTGATTCGTGAATAAATCAGACTGCCTTTCCTGTAATTTGATTTCTAGTCTTGAAATCTGATTGGTTGGGTTTATCAGGGTTCTTTTCTCGTTGGCTGGGAAAAAGATGCGATTTAAAACACAAAAATATTGGGTTTCGAGAATAAATCGCACTGCTGAGAGTTAGTCAGATTTTAAGGATAACCAGTGATTTCAAAATGGATGTAATAAAGCCAGTAAATCCAAACAACTAAATCAAGAGCAAGGTTTATATATCTGGGCATAACTCAATAGATGCATGCCTGTGCTTCATAACTTAATGCATGCAAATCACTACATGAACCAGAAAATTTTAACTCACTTGAAGCAAGAAAATCCCACAAAAATGGTTGGTGATGGTGGTGGAGACCTGTCTGTTGTCAGGGATTTCAAGCCCAAAATGTATAAAACTAACAAATACAGGAGAAACAGAGTTTATGGAGACTGTCTGCAATTTTTCATTTCTTACGGGTAAATTATTTGCACTGATTTGCACTTTTACATGAACATACAGTCATGTAAATGTTGTGGTACATAAAAAATGTTGTAAATATTTTTCATTCTGATCCATTTTTCAGGCTTGTGTCAAAAGAATAAATGGCTTGAAGTCAAGAGAGGAAGAAGTAAAGAACCTTTTAGATTCAGAAGTCAGTGATAAGAGTGAGGAAGTTGAACATCAACAGCTACATGTAGAACAGCTGAAGGAAGTAGAACTTCTCAAAAAAGGTAATGATTTAAAACTATAATTTATGTAAATAACTTAAAGTCTATTCCTCTGAATGTTAAATGTAATATTAAGTAAATTGGCCAGATCTGGAAGTAATGGTGACCAGGACATTTAAAACATCAATAATTGTGCTAGGTACCATATGTTTGAAAAGTCAGACTCATTGTATTGTGTATACAACACCTGTAGACATAAGGTGAGAGCAAAATAAAGGTTAAGAATTAAAGGTATCTTTTTGTCTAGGACAAAAACAGTCCTTATTCTTGACTTAAATGTGCTTTAAGGCCACTTTCTTTCCTCCAAGGAAGAGCTCAATCAGTCAAAATTGACGCTGTTCTTGGCAGGCTTGATATGTAGAAGCCAGAAGTTTTGACTAGTTAGCAACTTGCAGTGGAAGTATTGGCAACTCAGAGTTTTAGAATGACCAAAAGTTTAACTCCAGCCATCTATGTTTATATACAAATTTATAATCCACCAAATATTTTTGCTCATGCGTGATTGGTCCAAACGCATGATGTGACCAAATATTCCCCAGCTGGGGGAATATCCAAGAATATTCCCCTATTTTCTAAACTGCGCATGCTGCGAAAAATATATGAAGGATAATAAACACAATAGCCTCCATTTGACTTTGAAAATAAGTTTGGATATTTGTCCTTGGACATTATCTGTTCCTCAAGGCTCACAGTTGTCCTCGAGCTATGCTCTCATAAACTGTTCGCTTCTCAGAACAGATAATGACCGAGGACAAATATCCGAGTGTATTTTCATGCCAAATGGAGGCTATTGTTTATATAACCAGCTGCTTTGAAGCTTATTGATCATGACGTTGTCCTGACTTGTGGGCTGTTGATACATGCATGACTACTTTATGGCATCTGCTATTCATTTCTGAAGGGAGGAGAAGGGAAGGCTTGGACAAATAAATATCAGCATTGATAATAGCAAAAATTATTTTAACGTTTGCATGTAGAAGGACCTACACAGCAATCACCCCAACCCTGAGGGAGTGGGCGTGGTGTTCAAACAAAAGGAATTCCACTAGTACCATGCAGTCATGTAAATTACATATTTGGAATTGAAAATACTTAAAGAAATTGTTGGAATTTGAAAAATTCTTGTATGTTTAGCCACAGTTGCAAACTATGTCCTACTGTAGATGCCCTTTTGATTTAATTTTCTGGTTGGAGAAAAATTTTTTTGGAAAACAATGCATGTATCTGATTTAAAATTCTTTTCTCTGCCTTTTAAGAGCTTGATGATCTTCATGCCAAGAAAAGAGACATTAGAGGAAATTTTACAAAGGAGAAAAACGATTACTATACAGCCATCAGAGAAATCAAGACTCAGAAAAAGAAGGGATGGACAGCAAAGAGAAAGAATGAGAGACTTCCTATGGTCAAACCAGTGTAAGTATATTTTTAAAAACTGTTTTTGTGCAAGACATACATGTAGGTAAAGTCTGCATACAAACCAAGTGGCCNATCACAGGGTTACCCCCAGCATTAAGTTTGCAGATACCCATTTTATACACCTGGGTGAGGAGAGGCACTGTGAGAGTCAAGTGTCATGCCCAAGAACACAATGCGATGTGCCCGGCCAGGGTTCAAACCTGGACTGCTTGATGCGGAGAGAGGTGCACTAACCCTGAGGCCACTGCACCTCCCACAAGACATGGTGCATGTTTATTGACAAATGAAACTGCCTCTCACTTAGAGGACATCTGCAGATGAATGTCTAGGGTTACACCCTCTGCATTGGTGTTGTGTACGAAGCCAAGGTGGTGCTTGGGAGATACAAAGATGATTCAATTAGTCATCATAAATTTATAGAATATATGCATCTGTTTTCTTGTTGGTAACACCGCTGATCCACTCTGCAAGCGCCATATGAGTTCACAACTACTTGGAGAATGTTCATTCACAAGTCAAACATGATATATGATGATGATCATTAATTAAAAATGGTAAATTTGTGCATGTTAAAAGAGATCAGAAATTTCTGGGCAGGTACCTTGCAAATAGGCCAGTCCTGTAAATTTATGCACTTAAGACAACGCATTGTTTTTTGAAGGTGTTACTATTAAGGATTGCTCTGTCTTGATGAGTTATTTTGTTTTTGTTACAGGGCAAGCAGCAGGGCTATGGAACAGCCGTTTGAAAAGGAAAAAGCGCTTTGTGATACGCTTGTAAACTACTTGGAGGGACTTCACATAAATGCAATTCATCTGCCAGATCTTCAATCAACGTCTTCAGCAGACAAGGAACCTGCCATTTCTTTAGCAGCAAGTATGTTTAATTAAAGATTGGAATAAGACCATGACTAACCAGTTATCAAAAAGCACCAAATTGAGCTTTTTTTAGAGAGACTTATCAAAGTTTAGGAATTGTCTTGTCATTTAACTGACAGCACATTTGTTGGATTAATTCGGTTACCTTAAAAGAATGAAATCAAAACATGAACTCGGGGCAGGGCCATCCTAGACCATCTGCCTTTAGGCAAACTTCTCAACCTTTAATAGGTTGATATTCACTGGAATGCAGCATGGCAAACTTAATATTAATAAATAAGTGTATAATTTTTGCTAAAAGAAAATGTAGAATCAAGAAGGAGATCTCCTTTAAAACCTGCAGATTTAGAAATGAGATTTACTTGTACATGTAGCAACACTTCCACATGGTGTAAATCAGATCCTTAAATGTCGTATGGCAATTTTCTAATATATAAATTTAGGCAAGCCTAAAAGCGGAGCTCCTGGGCTACGTTGTTCAAAGCCCGGTTAAGATAACCCAGGTTAAGCGAGAATTTTGATTTTAGTTTTGTAACTTCTGTATGTTGTTTTGCCTTCTGTTTTGAGTTTGAATAATCTCAAAATACACAAAACAAAACATTTGTACACAATTAATATTCATCCTTCTGTTAACTTTTAATCCTGGGTTAGTGTTAACTGGCTTCCGAACAACCCGGTCCCATTTACAACAAGTTAACCTAACATGAGCCTGCAATCCAATAGAAAACCGGCTCTTGCTCAGCGGTCAACTTAAAAAAAAACACGTTACCTCGATGAGCTCAAAACTTGAGCTCGTGATACTGTCATGTGATACTGGTCAGCGGATACCTTGTTTTGACAGGTGTCAATTGACCATAGCATGGATGTCCAATATCAAAGGAGGCTATAAATCAAGGCTACATGTCCCTGTTAACCTTTTAGCTGGACTATGGCCGCCATGTTGCGCAACTGCGTCGCCGTCATTGCCATCATTGTTGCCGTCATGTGTACGCGCCCACGAGCAATACCGCTAACCACGATAACCATGAGAAAATCCATTCATGGGTTTCCTTTTCTTTCCTATATGAGTATGGGGCTCCGCTATGAAAACTTCACAATCTTTTATTGTGAGTCTAGTGTCTTGCATGATAGAACTGTGGGGCTTGATATACTGTAAAAATATTACAGGATATTTTCAGAGTTGTGTTGTTCAAGTTGGTTTAATCAAAGATGATTTGTGATTCTTGATGACTGCATTTGCTTTAATCACTCATTAGTGATAATTGCTGGAGTGTCATGAAATGATCACATGTTATGTTTTATTGACTTTGTTCTCCATTATTGACCTTCAGGTGCTGATTTTTCCTTGTCTGGTGATAAAGGAGTGTTCCTCAGACGCAAATCAGCCACTGATGATCTGGTGGGAGTGTATGCCGGGGTCAACAGGACTTCAAGAAGAGGAAGTCGCAAAGGAAGGCGGTCCTCTGCAAAAGAGGTCAGGAACTACATTAATCAAAATGTCTCAGAAAAAATGATAACGAAATGTTTTTCAGTCTTAGGAATGGTGATAAACATGTCATAATGAATTTGTTTTTTACTAAATGTCCTTTGTGTTCATTATAACATGCTTGTATCTTCATTCCTAAAACTTTGGATAACATTATAATTTATCACCTGTGATACAAAGGAAGTAGATTTTTCAAGTTTGCCTTTTGGGAAGTTGACTCTGCCACTGTGTGGTAAATGCGTGGTCTTGTATGGATGACTGAAAGCTTAACTGTGATGCTTTTGTTGGCATCTACACTGTACTAGACAGAAAATATCTAGTTGCTTGAGCCATTGGATAAAACTTGCTTTTGAGAACTTTTAAGAGCTGGCATGTAATAAGTAGGAGGTATTTAAATCTGTGGGCAGTGGATGTGGAGAAATGTTTTTACATGTACTCATTTGACATTCATCATAGCCGTTACATGTTTCTCTTATTTTAGGCTCCTCGCAAATTAAACCTTCATGCCCAAGTTGTTGAAAACCTTCTGATTCTTGGTCTGTCACCGCCCAGTACTGCTGCTGATATTCCAAAGGTTCTTGAAGAGCTCCAAGAGAAGAAGGTGGGTGAATTGACTAACTATTAGTACCCTAATTGCTTACAGCCTACATGTAGTACCTCTATAGCGTCTCATTTTAAACTTAATACTAAATCTGTGTTCAGAGCCCGTAGGGCTATTTTTTTCTCTCTGTCTTCTGTGATTACCACTCTAAGGGCTAACTGAGTTCAATTACTTTTAAGTATGAATCTACTAGTGCTCTGCTGTTGCCTGCATATTGCCTTGGAAACTGGAGTCGAGTGCCGACTTGTTGCCACTAGACTCTGAAAGTACTTTACTTAGTATACTTAATTCACAGCCTTACATATATCTAATGGTCAAGTAGCATGTCTCAAGTTTTAGTGCACCGGAACCAAATTGAATCAGTAAATTAATATTATATTTCATATTGTCTTTTAATGATTCATTTTCAGGACTTTTTTGAGAGTGCCCAAGCTCCTAGCCCTGTGCCAGCACCCGCCAGTCATGACCCTATGACACCAATAACAGAAGAAGCTGCACCTGAATTTCCGAGCAAATTTGAAGAAAGCGGAGAGAGTGAAACTCCTGAGGCAGTTCTCCAAGATGCCACACTGGATACTGAAGATAACACAGGAGATGGTAATCTGCAAAATAATCCACAAGCAACGCATGATGAAAAAAGTTTAACTCTGAATGAAGAGGAGGTGTTGGGAAGGGAAACTTCAGGTAAGGCAGACACTGAATTGACCGACGAGTTAAACGGCTTGTTACCAGAGAAAGAAACTGAAGAATCCCAGCTGAAGACTGTAAACCTAGAAGAGGCAGCTTCTGCTGTAAACAGTGATCTTTCTAATGCAAAGCCAGCTGTGTCGAATGAGAACCATGAAGTAAGTTCAGACGACACCGGGCATATTAGCCTTGCTCACTCTTTCACAGAACCCAATACAGAGGGTTTGTGCTTGCCAAATGGAGATCCGCATGAGTTAAATGAGGTCTTGACAAAGTGTGTTGAAAGTGAGAATTGTCGCTCAAAAGAAGACAAACTTATTTATCCTGAAACGGACCAGGTGCTCTCTGAAAAGACAAATTCAGCACCCAAGGACAACACGTGTAGCATCACGCCTCCTGTTCAAAGCAACACGATTTGCCCAGAACAGCCCAGTTTTTCAGGCTCATCCTCTCACAGCACGAGTCTCTTAATAGAGGAGAATGGCTTGGAGGCTGTCTATGATAGACACTCTATAAATGAAGGAGGTGGAATGGTGAAGATACAATGCGAGAAGTGTCCCGCTTAATGCATCATGTTGTTTCTGATGAGCGCTTCAGTGGTAAACCAGGACAACCCATGCACTGTATCGCGATGGAAGCATTCAGAACACACTGAACCACGCGCGTAGATTCTTCGGGGTACTTGTAGAATAGTCTATAAGGCATGCTATATTTTATAATATTTTTGTGTAGATTTGTATGTTCAGGTACAAATTTATGTACCAAGCACTGACTTCAGCTCCTTTGGTGGGCTGTGTGAAGGTAAATAATTATGAAATGATACAGTTATGTCATTTCTTAGAGCGGTTTTCAATTGAGTGACGTTAAATCAAAGTAAGCACTCTGGCCAATCACGAAAGACACAGACAATCCAATGAACCAATCAAAACTCGATACAAATACATATAGCTGACGCAAGGCGGGGGAAAACGTGTGCGAGCGAGTCACGGTTGGTTTTGATTTTACTTCTGATTGGATGACAAAGTGGTGCGTGTTTCTTAAGCCAATTGCTTACTGTGGTAACTCAAAACTAACGCAAATGCGTTTTGCAGGACTTTTGACACTCAAGTGAAAACTGCTCTAAAATGTTCATGTGAGCACGTTTTTATTATCACGTAAGTAGGATCTTGCATCTGGGGAGCAAACCTTACTCAGCTCTATTTCTTGCAGCGGTGTTAACTATTCCGAACATTCAAGCTGCTGCATTATGAAATCTCTCATTTAAAATGTCATTGGCGTCAACATCAATGGGTAGTGAATGACCATTCAAAAATTACGCGTCTTGTAGTCTTGACTTTATTCACGAAGCCGTCTCAAAGTCTCAATTTCTCTTGCAAATCTGAAATAGCGAACCTGCCGCAGAGACATTAGTTGTAAATGTACTATTTGCTTCCCCAACATCAAGTTCTTTTCAAGGTTCTCCCGGTATGCTTAGCGTCGTTAACGTTTAGGCCAAAATTTTAGCAGCATGTACATGTATCCTATATGATTTTAAATTAGGCATGTCGTCCGTGCATGTATCTCACTAACACTGTTTGCAATGTGGACTAACTCTTTTTTAAGACTAGTTTTTAAATGAATAACTATTTTATGGTCAAGTGCCCTGAGCAACCAAAGTTTGGTCAGATAAGCATTACACCACACAGATTTTCAAAGAAGATTTTTTTGTAGCTAATTTGTGTGTTGATTAGAGTACTTGAATATTCTTGTAAAGATAGTTTCTGCTAAAGTAACGAAAAGTACCTCAGTTTGATGTTAATTATACATGGGACAAATTCCAGTCAATGGCTACTGGAATTATGGTCGCAGTTACAGACAATTTGTTTGTTCCATGAAATATTGGTTATTTAACCAAAAAATTTATTACGTCTAAAACGTTCTTGGAGAAATAACTCAGTGGTTCCAGAAGGTTTGTTCGTTACATGTATCCTAAGGTTTTGAATTTGTTATTTTCAGACCTAGACCTGGTTTAGTAAGTCAAGAAAATATTATTTAACTTATGGTGCTGCCCAGGGTTAAATTATTGAAAAAATTAAAAAAAAAAAAACGAAGAAGAAGAAAACCAAAACAGCCAAAAAAGAAAAAAAAAATGAACTTATTGAAACATTCTTGTGAAGGTCAAAAAATGATAATTTTTTATACTAAATTAAAGAGTGGTGCAGCTTATCAATGGGTTAGTAAAGCCTAGTTCACACTAACGACATGATTGCCATGTCGGTAATGTGAACATTGACAGACAAACAAGGAAAAGATCAGTTTTTGCTTATGTTGTTATGTTCACGCTGTTATGTTGTTATCATGTCATTATGCCAGCATGATCACACTACAAACATTACCACATAACATCCTTCTTATGTCGTTATGTAACTAGTGTGAGCTAGGTCCAAGATATCAAACTTTTACCGCCTTTCCAAATACTGAGAAGAGAGTTAAAAATACGACACGCAGCGGAGTATTTTTGACGAACTTTGAGGTGTTTGGAAATTTGGTCAAACACTGTCTTGAGTATTTAATATATCTTTTCAATCGAAACTAAGACTAAGGTGAAAACAAGGAAAAAAATGTTAAAATCTGTGCTAAATAAGATCACATATCTAAACACTCTCACTGTTATGATTTCGATTCTTTACAATTGATGAATTGTGAGTGACTTTGAATAACCTGTGTAGATCAGCCTCACATTATGAGGTGGAACTGGAGTAAAAAGTTGAGACACTAAGATTTAAATAGTTCCTGTCATGATTGAAATTGTAGGTCTTTCAAGACTTAAAATTCTTTTTACTCGAGTCGTCATTACGTCACTAGCTCGAATCGAGTTATAGAAGTAAAGCTTACTTGCAGCAGGTTAAGCCTAAATATGCACAGCATGTCATCATAAGACAATACGCCTGTCGTGATTGTTGTTAAACTCGTATCTTTTTACAGGAAAAAGGCAGTGCTAGCTTGGCTGTTTTTTAGGACAGTCGTCCGAATATTTTCTATTATTTTGGACAAATTGATCAAAGAAGGAAATATTGTTCAGTATGGTACAGTGAGGATGAGTGGGAGGTAATTTTTAAATTGTGAAGTTTTGATCAAGTGGTTTAAATTTTACGCAGGGCCCCTTTTGACACCAGCCTATGGCTGATGGGGCTACCCTGCCTAAATAAAGATTACTTGACTTGACTTGAGTGAGTGAGTGAAGGACTGCTTGTAAGTTCGTACATTCTACATGCTTTTAGCCTTGCCCGGGTCATTTAAAATTGCAAATGTCAATTTTTCTTGTACGTCTTGAAAAGTGTTTCACCACTGATGGAAACACAAGCCAACTTGGCGTTGCAGTTGAAAAGTTACACTCGGGTTGTGTTAGATTTTGTTGACGTTCCCTCAGAATACGTTTTTTGGTTGCTTGTCCTTTCTCTCTCCACAAGCCCATTGATGTGTTGTTCTAGGAAATATCCATACCCTTCCCGCGGAAGTTTTTCCGGTTGACCCGCATTCCCCCACCCCTCTAGATACTTTCCTTTGAATGTTTTGGCTTTTGATGACCTCCCTTGGGTCCCCTTGGAATTTCCAATGACCTTCCTCGTGAAAAAAAAAAGAAAGTAAAAAAGGCCATTTATTTGATTTTGAAGAAAAGAAGCCAGTTGTAGAAGACAATCTATGATTAGCTAGGTAATAAATAATCCTAAGATTGAACGTTATATTTCACACTACAAATCGACTGTGATGCAATCCTTGCGAATAAGGATTTATTGATATTCTGAGCCTTGGAAGTTTTTGTAAATAAATTCAATGCAAGTAAACAAGGTGTGTGTAGTTTATTTTATCAAACTAAAGTGTACGTTTTTACTCGATACTCGATCTCTAGGAGCGTGCAACTCCCATACTAAGCCTATGTCGCGACATTTTACACACCGTTCTATTTTTAGGCTTCTTTTCCCATGAAATAGGTTAGTTCCGGTCTACATGAGCGCGCATCGGTGAGGAATTCATCAAAACAAGTTTAGAACTTGAATAAAACTACCTTGATGAGAAATGGGCTTTCCCCACTGGGGATAGGAAAGATACGAATGAAAATAAACATAAAATAAAGCGATATTTATACCCTGATCTATTTTATTGTCGCAATCTTTTATTTTCTACGATAAGTGCAGAAATTCCTGCGGGCTCATTGGCTAATTTTCGTTGTCAATAGGCGGAGAGACATATGAATGTATCATTTATGAGATGCGTCAACGAGTTAGAGCGGACAATTTGACAATTTGTTATTATAAAAAGAAATTTACGTCTTTTTTTAATGCGTCTGTCCTGTTATTGACAATGAATTTCGTCATAACATTGTCAAAGTAGTGCTTTGACAGCTACTTTGACAATGTTATGACGAAATTCATGAACAACAACAGGACAGACGCATGAAAAACTGACGTCAATTTGTTAAATAACTGTGTGTCGAATTATTTTCTGCAATGAGCACTCTCAATACATAATCACTCAAAACAAAACATGCCTGCAGAGGCTTATCATACATGTTGGCTCGAACAACCTTTTTTTCTTAGATCAACTGAACTAGAACAAAATAAGAACACTAGCCTGAGTCCTGCGCATTCAAATATTACGTGTCAATGAACTCGGGGGGGGGGGGGGGGGGGGGGG